CACAGACAGAGCCGGTGCCGCACAGACACGGCCGGTGCCTCAGCGACACGCGGCAGCCGGGCTGGGGGCACTGACAGAACGGGCTCTGCACAGGGATAGTCACGGAGCACAATGAAACACACACCGCGCCGCTCCGCCTGCTCCCCACAGCGCACACCGCGCTCCCCGGGCTGCTCGGAGGGCACAGCCCCGCTCCGGGGCCGGCGGGCCCGTGCCCGGCTCCCCGGCACCACCCGCGGCGCCCCTGCCCCTCACGGACCGCCCGTGCGGCCGCGGGTGCCCGTCACGGTGCCTGACCGCAGCCCGCTGCCGGACCCGCACCGCGCTCACCCGCCGCAATACCGGGGCCGCGGAGGCGCTCGGGGCTCTACGAGGCGAGCCCGAGGCTCGGGCGGGAGGGCGGCCGGCGGGCTGCCGAGTCAGTGCGGATTCCCCACAGGCGGCCCCGCGGCGCCTCGCACTTGCCGGGGAAAGCGCCTCCGCCGGGGTCCTGCGGGGCGAAGCGGCCGTTGCCGAGGAGACGCGTCCCGGCGGGGAGCGGGACAGTGAGAGGAAACCGGAGCAGCCGCGGAGCGCCAGCGGCGTCGCGGAGACGATGGCCGGGGCTGGAGGCGGCACCCCCGCCCGACGGAGCTCTGGGCGGGGCGGACGGGGCGCGCTTCCGGCCAGCTCAGCAGCCGCCTTCCGCTCCGCCGCCACCAGCGCCGCTACCAGCGGAGCCGCCGCGCCGCGCCCCGCCAACAGCAAGGCCCCGACCGCGAGCGGGGAGACGGCTGCGAGGAGGAGCGGGAAGAAGCCGGAGAGGCGCCGCCGCCATGCTGAGCGTGTTTCGCTCCATCCCCACGCAGATGGTAGGGCCCGCCCGCGCCTCGGCACCGGGGCACTGCGGGCGACACGGCCGGGCGCGGGTTTAGTGTCCCCTGCCCGCCCGGCGACACGGCCGGGCGCAGGCACAGCAGCCCCTGCGCGATCGTAGGAGGCACGACTAGGGGGATGCAGCATAAATCCATATAATTTGGATTTTTGACCTGGGAGTTGGGACTTTCAGATGCTGTAAAGGGAAGCCCCTCTGTGTCTTCCTGCCTGCGCWATAGACGGGCAGAAGGCAGCTTGTGCTCCCAGAGAGCCACGTTTTCTAAAGTCGTGTAATCATAGATTAGTTTGGATTTGGAAGGAACCTCTGGACATCATCCAGTCCAAGCCTGCCAAAGCAGGGTCACCTGGAGCAGAAATGCATCCAGGTGGATTTGRAATGTCTCCAAAGAAAGGCACTCCACGACCTTTCTAGGCAGCCTGTCCCAACACTCTGCCATCTTCAACATAAAATTCTTCCTCCTGTTGAGGTGGAATTTGGTGTGTTTTAGTTTWTGACCATTGCTACTTGTCCTGTTGCCTRTTGCTGGGCACCACTGAAGAGAGTCTRGCACCATCTTCTTGGCACCCACCATGGAGTTACTTATATCCAAAACACAGCTGCCACTCACACYGTGCCCTCTCAGGCATACCCTCTTCTGTGGTGACACAGCTTTTACTTAGTGATGTTAAGATGACTACAATGATATTTTGAACTTGCATTACTTACCCTGATCAGACAGTGCTTGCTTCTGTTTCTAGGTGATGTGGTCAAGCCTGCAGAGGAGGTGTTTTCAGACACTGTAAGAAAAATAATTCCAATCTGGTTTGAAAATTGAACAAAAACGCTGAGAACCCATGGTCAGGTAGACTGTAGGATCTAACCTGAAAGAGTTAAGTGGGCAGGTTTGTGTTTTGAATAACTGACTAAAAAGTGTCTCTTTCTACAGGACTACAAGGGCCAAAAATTAGCAGAACAGATTTTTCAAGGGATCATTCTTGTCTCTGCAGTAAGTATACTAGACCTGTGGGTGAGAACATAAAGGACTATTTTGTTTTCTGATCTTACAAATACTTTTCTTATTGTTTCGGGTCACTAAAACAAAGACTTTAGACAAAGTCAGAGGGATTATCATGGATTAAAACTTCTTCCCATCTTTTACTTTCATTGTTGGCCTGCAATTTTGAAAAGCTTAGAAACATGTATGAACTATGCTTTCAAAAACCTGTGTTTTCCTTCCTAAATCCACCCCCTGCAAYTTCATCATGTCATGGGAAATATTTTTCTTCATCTAAAGTTTGATTTTTTTTAAATTTATTTTTCCAGGTAATTGGTTTCATCTATGGATACATCACTGAACAGTTTGGATGGACTGTTTACATTGTTATGGCTGGATTTGCATTATCATGCTTGGTAAGAATGTTTTTTCCCCAAACCAGAATATACATGCACTATTTAATCCAGAATAATAGTTAAATTAAGGTCCTGTCAGTACAGATTAATGTTTGTTATGTAATTTAGATTTATTAACATGTATTTGTACTTTCTCTGATCTGTATGAAATGTTTTGCAGGCCATTAAGTGCATTTTTTGAAATGCCAGCAGAATTTTTGCAATTTAATACCACTTTTGAGTTCATTTTTCATTTTGATTAAAAGTAGTGTTAAGTCCATCTGACAGCATTGATAATGGAAAGGACAGGGAAGMTTTCTGTGCAGTAGCAGCTTGTCCCCTGCTGACTGAGGAAGAGGGACAAGGAGGCAGAGTATGGATTTGCAGGAGTAATGCCTTAATAATACATGAGAGGTGTCCCATTCCTTTTGTCCCAATCCAGTTTTCACATGTTTCTTATACCTTTCAAGCATTCAGACACAGCACAATTTGACCAATCACTACTTAAGACACACACACACAGAGGACTGTTTAGAAAAGCCTCTGTCATCATCATCCAGCTGCTCCTTAAACATCCCCGAGTCAGTCTGGCTAGAGTTACTTACCCCTGATGCCAGGTAAAGGGAGAGTCCCAATGCATGGCTGGACTGCTGGTGTCACTTCAGGAGTCCAGGAGGATCTTTCTTTTCTTCAAGATGGGAGCTGCTCACCTGGGGTGCTATAGTCATATTCTTAAGCATGACTGTAAAATATAAGCTGTAAATGTATGTGCCTTTTTATATGAAATTGTATGATTTTTCTTCAGACTATCTGATAACTAGTTAGGGATTAAGGTTTTCCTAATAAGCTGTACAAAACAACTGTTTAGCATCTCAGTGTCCATGTTCTGACTCGTGCCTTTGCCCTCAGCTGACACTGCCTCCATGGCCCATGTACCGCCGCAATCCCCTCAAGTGGCTGCCTGTCCAGGAGTCAGGCACAGAAGAGAAGAAGGCAGCAGAGAGGAAGCCAAAGAGACATTCTAAAAGCTAAACAGTGTGGTTCTCCATGCTGCTATTTTGTTAAATTTTGTTAAATGKATTTTCACTGCAAGATATTTCTTGGTTTAGTGTTTGGGTTTTTTTCTTAGTACTTTCTAYACAACCATGAGTACAACCAAGTTCTGCAGGGAGCATGAAGGCTTGAAATTGGGTCTGGAGTTTCAGAAAAGTCACTGGGAACACAGGGATGCTGGGATTAACTTCAGAAGGCTACTGGAGGTCACATCTTAAGTATTTTAGTAAATAGGAACTTAGTGAATCAAATGGTGTCTAGTTAAGCTCTTGCCATAGCTTAGAAGATAATAAACAGCTGGACTTCTACTGAAATATTTCTAACCATGTGTAAAAAAAACCTTTCGGTAGTGCCAGGTTGTAACAAATACTGTGAAATGGTACATACCCCACAGCTCTGAAAATAACTGTTCTAGGATAGGAGACTGCAGAGTGGCAGGTTTTGTTTAAAATAAATTTCCCTGGGAAGAGCAAGTAACATTTTGCCTCTGCAAAATACAATAGCTGTTGAAACATTGTAACTTGATCATGTAAGGGTGTAAGAGGCTGCAGGATCCATAGGTATGGTATTTTTAACTACTGTGATGTTAGTAACCTCCCTCACAGGTGCTAGAAGTTACAATATTTCAGCTACAGTCAGGARAAGAGACAGGATGTTCATTTATAATTTTATTTTACAAATTCAATTCCCTTTATTCTTTAAAAAACRTGCTTTTCCTSTAGGGATGGTAYACAAAATGCCTAGGTGGGTGTAGCRAGARACTCTGGATKCAAACGAAGAAAAATAATGGTTTTATCTTTTCCCRAAGTGGTTCTGGTCTTGGGCACCTTCATTCCTAAAAGGAATTAGTATTTGTAAGGCAAAGGGATTTCTCCATCTGGGACCATGGTAACCATTCCTTTCAAACAGTTTCAGACTTACTTTATCCAGTTACCAAATGCTTTCCCCCACCTTGGTGGCTGCCTCAGCAACAAAACACAAGAACAAAGTCTCTCCTTACAAGTAGTACAGCGGCCACTCAGCACTTGGACTTGGCAATTTACAGAACCTGAGGACCTTGAATTCCACAAAAATTAGTAATTCTCTCTTCATGCTAAATTTTCAAAACTATGTGATATAATAGCATATAGTTTATCACACCAGAGTCTTAGCAAGAGATTTTGTTACTGTATTTAGTATGAGACCATACCAAAAACCTTTCTCTATGACAAATTCAAACCAAAACCTAATCCTTTTTGACGCTCCTTAGTATACAAAATGTTGTATCCACCCCTATTTTCATCTATGAAAAGCAACTTCTAAAARTTTCGTTAAGATAATAAAAAAGAAAGTTTCTCTTCTGAGAAAGTGATAGCCTGGTTCACATTTTAACGTGGAAAGTACTACTACAAACTCTTAACGCTTTCTGCTAGTTCACCTCCTTATTCCAGCAAAGGAGATCAATGGATAACTGTGCTTTGTAAATTGGTCCAGTCTATCAAAGGAGCTAGAAAACAGTTCTTTTCTCTAAGGAAAAGTTTCTGGTCAGAGCTTCACATTTTCTTCAAGAAATTTCAGGTGCCGAGCCTTCGCGCTGTAGCTCACGTACTTGGCTCCCATGTGTTCCCGCAAMTGCAACTGTTTAGAACACACAAAACAAAACCGTTACATCTACTGACACTGAAAAAAAGCAGGAGCTGCCAAAATATTAACAAAAAAATACCAAAGCATTCATCTGAAAGCAGCATGTGAAGCTTGGCAATGTAGATGGGAGAGAAGAAAAATGRAAGTCATTGTTGTCTAAAGGCAAGAGACTTTCAAATCCCACCCAAAAATTTAAAATATAAGGTCTTCACAGGTTACAAATGAAATATGCACGGGTAGGCTTAAGCAAGCTTTTGGACAAAGGAGCTGGAGGTTCTCCTCCCAATAGAGCATTCATCTCTTGGGAATTGATGTTAAACTATTTCTTATTTTGGACATAAGGGGCATATGGCAAGTAATGTCAAGGCAAATATTTGACAGACAGAAGAAATTATTATTGGAGAAACAGCAGAGAGTAAAATTATTTGCATCCTTTGCATCTTCCCCAAACTCAGGGACCGTGGCACTGGTCTAAAGCTCTGATGTTGCAATTGCAACATAGTTGCAGAAGAAGTTGCAGTTAAACATAGTCTACATCTACAATCAAACTTCAAGAGTGAAAATTACAATACATTGGGCCCTTGCCTACCCATAAAGACTTTTTGGAATCAAGGTTTACTCCATATCAATAGTTTAGGTTTACTCCATATCAATAGTTTAAAGACCCTGCTCTTTTATCTAGGATTGTAAATAAATTAAAGAATTTTATTACGAAAAACATTCACCTCTCTTTTTGCTTCATCATCTTCTTCCATGATTCTGTACACCTTCTCAAGAAGTTTCACTCCCAATCCTTGTACCAGATCAGATCTCAGGATTTCAACCATTCTCCTAATCTTGTAAGGGACTGATAACATATCTATTAAAAATAAAATACAATCAAAAAATCAATGCCGTAGTAATTACTTCCAGTGCAATTTTCATACTCTGCAGAAGAATATGGGATGTCACTAAAGTATTGCCACAGAATCCCAGAATAACAGACCTGAAGGAATCTCTTCCATTTTTAAATCCTCTGATTCATCAGGTGTTTTTCCATGCAATATCAAAGTATCTCGATATTTTCTATGAAGTTTAAACTCTGGTGTTGAGGTTACACAGCACTCMGAGTTCTCCTTGGAGTCCATTTTCAGTGTCCACGTCATTAGCTGCACCAAGTCATTCATTTCATTCATGTTTTTCCTAGGAGAGGAGGAAGAAATAATTCAGTCACCATCATAATGCAAYTTCCACCCTGCATTCCAAGGATATTTAATAAGTGTAGTGAGGTCCTAGTAAGTATTCCATGTTAAATTACTTCTTGTGGTGCACTTTTATCAATAGCAACATTGGGACGATTTAATCTAACAAAGGCTCAGAGCCTGGTCACTGCAAAAACACATAATCCTACTACTCACTGTGGTAATACAAAAAATCACATCTTTTGAAAGCTGACAAAATCAGAAATAAATTCAGCCTCATTTACAGTGGAAAGGAAGCATATTGGCACCTTTTAATTTGTGCTTTTAAAGCATCCTGACAGTAAASATCCTTTGGAGCTGGAAGACTGGTTTCATGGGAAGCTACAGTTCACAAAAACCAGAAGTACACAATCACATGGCCCAGAAAGTTCAGCATGGAAGGTGTACAGTCACAGAGACAACAACAAAATGGAGCTATATTACTTTATACGTCACATACTTTTTCAATCACTCACTATGAAGAGATAAAGTATGAAAACCATTTTTTTCCCACTCCAAGTCAAGGTCCAGTACAGCAGTGAAAACTCTTGCACAATATTAAACAAAATACATACCTCTCCTTGGAATCACCATCGGACTTGTCTGTAGAGCTTGTGGAAGAGCTTAAATCATCATCAGACAGGCAATGGGCTTCTCTCTTTCTCTAAGGGAAGAGGGAATAAATGACAAAAATTCTAACAGTTGAAAGAAATTCAGCAATATGGCATAAATTACTATTCTTACATGGAAGAAATACTTTCAACAAGGTTTACCTGAGAAATATTGGGATCTGATGAGGACTGATGAACTTTAACACAATTTTCCACTAGTGATTTTGCTTCAACTACTGCACCATTTAATGATTGTCTCGCTGGAACCACTGGAAGGATGATGTTTTAACAATATTTACAATGACACTGCATGTATTCTGGATTAGTTTCAAGCTCATGCAAGAAAAAAAATCTATCACCTGGCAGAAAACAGGCAGGTAAGTATTCACCTAAGAGAAAACACTGAAGCTTTTGTCTAAAAGTGAATATTCTACATTTCAGGTACATTTCAAAAACTAGTTGTCRACACAGAACACAATTGAACATAACWAAAAAGCATAAAAATATAGATGTGTAAACAGAAAGTTTTATTTAACACAGAATTAGATCATTAGTGTACCTTTCTAAAGGCAATGAARGACAGACAAGAAGTTATAACTTCTTAACAAAGAAGTTATTAGCCTACTTAGACATAAAATGTTAACATGTAAAGATAAAAATTACCAGAGGGAAGCATCTCCCGAGACTGTTTCAGCCTCCTTCGCTCTCTTGCTGACAAGGGCCGTTCCTTCAAAGGAAGTTAATTTGATATTCATTTGCAATCACTATTATAGCTTTTGTTTTCTAATCTGCTATTAAGCAAAAAATACTTTTCAACATGGGAGAAAGAGCTATTAATTATTGCTTAATTATTTATTACAAAGCTGTCTTCAATGAGACCAATCTGGGGTCTAGAAAAGGGGCTTCTGACCTCCAAGGCACAGTAAGACTCATCCCACACTGACAGGTGCTTGACTGGGCTTCCACAAGGTAGGAGGCTACTACACATTTCTTTACTCACTATGCATACACTCAGAGAACAAACTGCTCAGAAGGAATAAGACAAAAACAAGCAGACACAGTATTCATCACTAACCTTCGGAATGGCTGCTTGATTGGTTTTGGCACTATTTGCAGGCTCTGGATGCTCTGCACCATTCTGGGCTGTCTTTGCAGTCACATCAGAAGGAACAGGTAGAGGTCGAGGAGAAACTGCTCTGAACTTGACAGAGAAGTGAGCAAGAATTACTTTTTTTAAAACTAAAAGTTCAAGTATTCTGCAATCTAGAAGACATTCTTGCATGGTAAAGCTGGATGCCAGTGATTTTRAATCCTACTGTAACTTYTTCACATCTCCCAACTTCATCCTTCCCTCTCCACATCTCATTGCCTCCACTTCCTTCTCTCCATCCCTACATCTCATCCCCCTCCTCCCATACTACTTTTCAGCCAATGCCTTTGCAACAACTGTCACTACCTGCAAACAGCAACATGCAAAGAGAAAAACAGGTTATCAATCATCAATCACCCTCTTCTCTGGCCTTGTGTAGCCATTGACATTCCCCAAAGAAATCTCCCTGCTCAGTGTGGAAGAATTGACAGGAGCTCTATTCTCTGTGCATGCCAATATTTTTTTCCKACAGTTTGCACTCAGAAGCTCAGGGCAGCCATTACACATCTGTTCTAAGTGTGTAACTACTAAGCTACTACCCACCACAAGAAGCCTTATCCAGAAGGTACTGGCTTGCAGTCACAAACAAGTGAGAAGTTCTGATGGAATTTCCTAGACTGCAGCCCAGCAAAGGCACAGACCATCTGGCACACCCACCTCATCCCCATGAGGGTTATTGGGATTTTCAGATTTACTGCTTCTAACAGTCACCTTCAGTGAACTGCATTTGYTACCAATGAAGTTATACAGACACACATGAAACAAGAACAGCATTAAAACACCCACCCTTTTTTAAAAAATAGGTCCCACGTTTAAAGAGGAAAAACACAGGAGTCTTAAAGGAAAGAGGAGAAGTATTTTTCAAGTATCTGCACCTTCTCTGAGCAGCTTTCAGCAAGCTCTCTCTTGTGCTGCTGCCGTGAGAGAGAGGGTTCACTGACAGAGCTGTAGGGCTGCAAGTAGAAGGTCATTTTCCCTTGAGCATTTCCTGAAGCTCCATGACTGACATCATTCTAATAAGTAAAAGTATTTTAAAAAAATTTAGACATATCATTTCCAGGTTTACACAGACATACTTAAAAAAATCAAAATAGGCCACTTTACAATTTGGACTGCAACCACCTTAACACAGCACAGGTACAATCACAATAAATTTTTACTTGATAGACAGAAGAAATACCTGGTGCATCAGCATCTTTAAACTCAATCTTTAAAGAAGGTCACTTACTTGATTTCCAACAGGAACAAAGGGTGCTAGCAGCTTGTCAGTAGAATCCAAACTCTGAAATAAATAATTACTTATCATTAAAAATCTCATGGYAGACCAAAATACAGTGAAAAGACAATCACTACCAATTAGCCCCCCCTTCAAATCAAGATTATTCAGGCCTATTTACAATGCAGAACAAAACTGTTCTCACCCTCTTTGTTCTCAGCTGGAAAAGCATTTTTTTTCCCCTGTAAAAACAGAATTCCAATCATCTAGAGAGATGTAAACCCAAAACTACTTCATAATTTGCAAATCTGAAACCAAGGCTCCTAACTAAGAAGAATAATTAAGAATCTCAGTAATAGCATCAGCAACATCCTACTTTGACAGAAAAATGTTGCACAGCAACATGTGCAGCAAAATGTGCAGCAGTTGTCTAAATTTTAAGAGCTGGCCACTGGTTAAATCTGCTTCAAAGAAGCATAAATACATTACCACATSAGTTTGCTTTTGGTCTTTTGATAGAGGCTGCAGGAGTTTCAAAGTGTCATCWTCATCTTCTACAGAGTCAATAGAAGATGGCTTAGACTCAACACTTTCAGCTTTAAAAGCCTGTTTTGTTCTTTGCTGTTGTCCATCTTCCTTAACTGGTGGGTTGTTAGATGTTATTTTAGAAGGGCCTGGAACGTGGAAATGCTTTGCTTTATTCTTCTCTGGAACACGCTCCCTGCCACATTTCTCACTGCCATGCTTCATCCTTTCAGATGGTGAGAGATCAATGCTCACTCCACTGACTGTAGCTATGGAGTCTCCCAAGTTGTTCACATCATTATTGTATGATTTTC